ACTCCACTCACAGCAGAGGCATTGCGACAAGAGCAGGCACATTTGAGACAGGAAGTTCGCCAGGACATGTCGTTTAAGAAGTCGTGTGTGTGTGTGTGTGTGTGTGTGTGTGTGTGTGTGTGTGTGTGTGTGTGTGTGTGTGTGTGTGTGTGTGTGTGTGTGTGTGTGTGTGTGTGTGTGTGTGTGTGTGTGTGTGTGTGTGTGTGTGTGTGTGTGTGTGTGTGTGTGTGTGTGTGTGTGTGTGTGTGTGTGTGTGTGTGTGTGTGTGTGTGTGTGTGTGTGTGTGTGTGTGTGTGTGTGTGTGTGTGTGTGTGTGTGTGTGTGTGTGTGTGTGTGTGTGTGTGTGTGTGTGTGTGTGTGTGTGTGTGTGTGTGTGTGTGTGTGTGTGTGTGTGTGTGTGTGCGTGCGCTGTGTGGGTGTAGGACTCTTCTAGATCTACCCGTGTCAGGAGCAAGCAAAGAAAAGGCTCGAGAAGGGTGGCAAGGGTGCAGCGGCAAAGAAGCAAAAGGTTGCACACGCCTCCAATCAAGCCCCAGCTGCACCTCCTGAGCACACTGCACCTCCTCAGCACACTGCACCTCCTGAGCACACTGCACCTCCTGAGCACACTGCGCCTCCTGAGCACACTGCACCTGATGAGCACACTGCACCTCCTGAGCACACTGAGGAGCACCCACCACCAGCTCAGAGTATCAAGTCAGCTAAACGTGGCAAGGAACAAGCCAAAGCCCAGGCAGGTGCAGAGAAGCTTCTTCTTGCAAGTGCTGGTATTCCAGATTGTGCACCCCCCTCCGGTGACATTCGAGCCCATGCTTTGACGCGTCTGTTTCTTGCCTGCTCTCTCTAGATCTGGTGCGTACTTATAATTCAATTAGGACCCCCTGGCTTATATATGCACAGAAGTGCACAATGGGCTGTGAATTGACCTCTATATATATATATATATATATATATATATATATAGAGAGAGAGAGGTCAATTCACAGCCCATTGTGCACTTCTGTGCAAAGTTCAGAGAATGTCGTGTTACTAGGTGGGTTTAGGTTTATGGCTTAATCATTTCATTTTGCAGCTCAGGAGCTTCGTGGTGAAGTGCCCGCAGGGTGCCTCCGCGGCCGTGGGTGCGAAGGGAATCACAGTCGAGCTCAACAAGCAGTCCTTCTATGTCCAGTTTGCCATTAGAAGATGTCCTGGTGTCAATGCACCTAATCCTTTAATCTGGATACGTTTAAAATACTTCCCTGGATGTATGTATGTGTAATTACAAATCAGAGTCCAGCCCTATTACCATATCCAAGGTTGACAACAAGAAAGGCTCGACGTTGGCATGGTCTCGCGGAGACCTCCATGATGTGTGCCAGGGCAGCAAATGGTATAGTCGAATAAAGATCGTCCTGAACCCTAAGCCCTAAGCCCCTATGCACAACCCTAAGTGCTTGGTTGGGGGAGTGGTATGCTCACCCTACAACCCTCGACCCTCACCCGAAAACTGGCGGCCAGGTTATTAGTGTTGCGGTTTTGGGCAAGAGGGGTGTTTATGCTGCATGTTTCAGTTTGAAACAGTCTTTCTTCGGGTGTTCCAATTCAAGGCCTAGTGGGTTCTGCTTGAACCCGAAACATGTAATCCCCACTATAAGCCCTAAACCCCTAAGCACCCCATACCCTGTACCATTGCATCTGCCAGGTGGGACCTCGCCCAGATCTTGGCTGGCTGGAAGCAGATCAGCCAGCGTGAGCAGGTGCAGGTGGGCGCGGCATAACCTGGGCTGTGCTAGTATAATTACAAACCCCATACCCGCTATTATAAACTAGCACCCCCCCTAAGGGTCCATGTGCCCAAACTATCTGGCTATAAGAATATTCCCTATGTATACTTATTGGGCCCCTAGTCTATACTATATGTGGGCACATGGACCTTTAGGGACCCAGAGCCCTTGACTATTCATCCAATTAACCGCAAACACTGAACCCTAAACCTGGAAACCTGAACCCTGATACAACTAAGCCCAAAACCCTCAACCCTAAATTCGAACCCTATCCCCATGATCCCTAAACCCGAACCCTGAACCCTAAATCCGAAACCCCTAAAACCCGAACCCTGAGCGGCGAACCCCAAAACCGAGAGAGCCCTGAATCTAAGCCCTAACCCTCGACCCTAGAGTTGAACTCAAAACCCCAACCCCAGGGCCTACTGTTTTTGGGGTCTTGATCATCAGCCAAGTTGTGTCATCTCCACCAGCAGCCAATTCTCGTCTCCGATCCATCCATCTCCGCCAGGCCTGGCTGACTGCAACAACGACGAATCCGCTGCCCAACAGTGCAGATGCCTTGAGTCATGAGGAGTGAACTTTTCCAAATGCCACTGGGGACCTGAAGCTTCTACTAGTACTAGTGCAATGCAGCCATACAGTGTGACACCAACTAGATTTGCACGTGTATCAGCTGTACTCGAGTCCTAGCTACACACAGGCCCTGTGTGAGCCTAGTTCCAACCAGCGTGTGCGATTACACATGCTGGTTACTTTGTGCACAGCGCTACGCTGTGAATTAAGATCTAGGGAGCTAGTGGGACATGCCGACAGAGCCAGCCCAAATTATGAGATGTGTGATTGCATTGTTCCATGCTGTGGTGAAATCAGTGCTGTTCCGATTACCCATTCCCTGCAATGTGCATGTCTCGAAGTGCAAGATCGAACTAAGTTTATGTACATGGCCTTATCCAAGCGGGTTTCCTCTAAGTCTAGATCTCTATATATCATGGACTCCAAACCCTAATCCCTAAGCCTGGAGATCTTTCAAGTGATTTCGTTTGGAGCCTCACACTAATCCGAACCTGACTGGGCAAGGCTCAGACTGGGCTATGGAACAGCAACCCATCAGCCCCCTGGGCCTCTCCAAACGGCAAGTGGCCTTCTTGCTGCGCCTTGGCCTCCCGGCGATCTTGTGGCTTGGTGGCACAATATCGAGAGTCATGCATGAGACAGCAGTTTCAACATGACTTGTATCGAACTCTGCAGCATTCACTTCATCGACTATGCAGCTGCGATGACACCGGCAAGCACTGCCACATATGACACTTGCATGCAAGTCTAGATAGTCACTTGAGGCTATAGGGAACACATTTGTGCCAGCTCAGGGGCTCTGGAATGTTGAGCTCTTTTCTGGAATCGGCTCCGTGGCCAAGGCCTTCAGTGCCTTGGCTGACAGTCGAAAACAGCTAACACCAAACCCAACACGTGATCACATTACTTGTACTTTCTTTTGGCATCTGTGGGGCGAGGGCCCTCTCGTCTAGGACCCTTCTCTACTCTGGTTTGTTGCCATAGGGTATTGAGGGCATGGGATAGGTTTTGCTTCGTTCGAGCTCTGAAGTGTGTTCCAGGGTTTGGGATATCGGGGAACCCCAATCAGCCCTGAACCTAATTAGTCTGCAATTGTGGTTCTCGGGGGTGAGGATGCTCGTACTGTCAGGAGAGCGTGGCTATGCTGCGCAACGTGTCTGCTTTTAACATCGAGTTCTTAATTTATTCCAATTAATTACTATAGGACAAATACATATACACTACCCATTGCATCATATCCCATCCATATATATATATATATATATATACATTTGTATATATATATATATATATATGGGATATGATGCAATGGGTAGTGTATATGTATTTGTCCTATATACTCTAGACCCACACTACACACCTGTACCCAAACTGCCCCGGCCGAGGGAGTGCTATGACTGGAAAGTGAATGGCTACGACTTTTGCAGTTTTGAGGGCTTTTTGCAGGCCGTGGTTCTGGTCTTGAGAATGAAACCAGGAGCATTGCTCCACATCGGATTACCTTGTTCCAATTTTGTTTGGATGTCGAGCAGTGTGCACATGCGTTCAAAGGAAGCACCACTTGGTGATGTATCAAAACCATCCGTTGTACGATCAAACTGCATCTTTGAGCGTGTTGTCCTTTTGATATATCTCGCCTTGGCGAGAAGGATCTGGTTTTTTCTGGAACAGCCACGATCCAGTGTTGTTCCCTATATGGCGGCCATGCAAGAACTCTTGAGTCTCTGTGGTAGAGGGTGCCATTGCACATGGTGGATGGGGTGTTTTGGCCACTGGACTATCAAGCCCTCGCTGGCCCTGGGAAATGCGCCCTGGATACCAAAACTTCAGTTCATTGGCAACAGGTGGTCGGGGACCAAATAGCTAACGGTGTCCATCATCCTGCATTGACTACAAGCTATGTTCCAAATCTCTCTATAATCTCTGAAGCTTGCTAGCCTGATCAGATCTAGACTAGAGGAGTGAGTAGCCTAATCCCAAGAGGCACATACTGAGCCATGATTTTTGAAGGCTTCCAAAGGATCCCAAGCACCTAGCTCAAAAGGATGTTCATTTTTTGCTTATGCATTATTAATGTAGGAACCTGGTTAAGAATCCTTTGGCCTTTTTCGGGGTTCCTTTTAAGTCCCACTAATTCGGGGTTATTGGCCCAGGGTTTCTTAATCAGGTTCCTATAAACATCAGAGAACTCATGATCATACACCGGTACCTATTGTGGTTCAGTAATATTCCCCCATAAACCCTGAAATATATAAAATTAGGGGGGTAGCTGTGTGCTTTAGATATTAAATCCCCCTGCCAGGATCAACAAGGCTCTGCGGCAATCCCTCGCCAATGTCTGTCGCCTGCGTGGCTTGGTGAAAGTCACCCGCAAGAAAAAGCGGGATGGCTCTGTGGCTGTGAGACCCGTCTGGGTCAGTCTGGGCTTTTGCAGGGTCGCTAGGAAATCTATAGACTCTGTGCGGCTATTCTAAAGGCGAGGGTTCAAATAATTTAATACCAGCTGCCACCAACCCTTGCATGCAGTGGATACTGATGGCCCTTAAGCTATAGGTTTCTTGCAGGGAGCTGGTAATGTAGAATCACGGTTTGATGCTCAGGACTGGGTCCAGGGATCTGGTGAAAACCGGAGAGTATCCGAGAAGCTTTGCTGACTTCATGGCGACATCTCATGACCAGGTTGCTACAGCACTGTTGGAGAAAAACTCAAAATTAAATGTAGACTTCTCGCTGTTGCTCTAGGCTGGGGTTTCTGGTTTCAGGTTCTAGGCCTTCTTGTTTATAACCTCCGGACCTATAGCTAGAGGGTAGGGGATCAGATTTGTTTCTTTATAAGGGTTTCAGAGTTTTGCTTCTACAGGGCTTTATAGTTTAGGGAAGGTTGTGGGGATTAAGTTATAGCTTTAAGGCTTGAAGACAGGACTGCAATTCGAGTCTTTGGTGATTTAAGGACTCAGGGGTTTCGACCCTCCCGCCCTCCGAGCCGCTTGAGCAGGTGCTGCAGTCTGGGCGTGTGATCGATTTGGATGAGATCGCCTTGGCCATCTCCTCACCCCTGCAGTGCTCTTTCGAGCTGGCAGACCTACAGCCCCTCCAGGTGCTGCATGTGGGCTAACCCTCAATCCCAAACCCGAAACCCTGAACACCAAACTGTAAGCAGAAAACATCAACCCATGTGATTCTAGATCTGCCGGTCTCTGTCCACACGCAGTCATTGGCCGTTGCAGGGTGCGCAATTGCATACATATAGAAGTTTAAAGTGGCACTGGATGGATATATATATATATATATATACATATATATATATATATATATATCCATCCAGTGCCACTTTAAACTTCTGTGCCCAGGCAAGGCTGCAGGATGTGGCGAGATCGGGGCAATGGGTGCCTGACCCTGCGATTCCTATGAGCTGTGCTGGATTCTACTTTGATAGTGGGATGTGGGGCTGAAACAAACCAGTGTAGGCAAGGCCTGAAACCCAAACATTCCTATGTACATTTCCTCGAAAGTAGGGTTGGCATAAGGACGGATTTATGCTGGTATATATATATATATGTACATGTATAGACATATATTTCGTTCAATAAGATTGCCTAATATATATATATATATATATATATATATATATATATATGCATAATGTAATATAAGCAGCTGATCATCTAGGGCTCTGACTATTCCCTCTAAGTCGTACCTGCTTATATATATATATATATATATATATATACATACATACATACATACATACATACACATATGGTTTAGGACTGTCTAGCTCTTGGGCAATCGGTAGCCCCCCCCCATTTACTATTAGTTTGATTCCATAGCAAATGTTGCATTGGTTTGACGACACATACCAGGCCCCATATATAGGCACTTAGGACTTGCAGGGAGACATGTGTTTTAGCAGCTGTCCAGATCTGGGGTTCACGAAGTTCTAGTTATCAAGAACGACTTTGTAACGAGTGCTCCAGTCTTCAACGGCCGGCCTCGTTGACAATCGAACGCCGAGACTGCTCTGCAGGAAAACATCGCAATACCTTTGCACATGGTGAGGCTGTTGTGCAAGTGTGTACCATGTCCAGTGTGGATCGAGGATTGTCGAAACTTCTGCAGCATCACTGCTTGGACATAGTCTGTGCTATGTCATGTATGACCATATATGTATGCATAATATATACGAATTCTAGAAGCTAGTACTAGTATCCACCTGGTATGTGCTGCCAACGAGAGAGGGCGATATTGGGCGATATTCTGCGTTAGAAGTGCTCTCTGGGACCAACTGGAGCGATATTAGCCGTTATTCTGCGATATTCGGGATTCTAGGGGTGGATCTGTGCCACAGCATAGGCGATATTCAGCGATATTATGCGTTAAAAGTTGTCTCTGGGACAAACTTACGCGATATTTAGCGTTATTCTGCGTTATTGGGGCCATTCCTGGTGGTTTCTGGATAGGTCTCTACCACCGTGCAGCCGATATTCAGCGATATTCTGCGTTAAAAGTTGTCTCTGGGACAAACTTACGCGATATTAGGCGTTATTCTGCGTTATTGCCAGCTCTTCTTGCGTGGCTCGACCCATGGCTGCTCAGAACCCTGTGGGACAGCAGACCCAGGCACGCAACCCAAGGGCCACATGCATTGAACCCCAGCCAAACAATAATTGTGCCAGGGGTCCAGGAAGGACTTTGTGGAGAAGGAGGTCCAGAAAGCGCTGCGAGCTGCTGGTGTTCCTGTTTCAGGCAGGACAGGGATATGGATCGATGGTTGTGGTTTATCTGCCAGGGTCTTGGGCCCACACACCCGCAAACCTGAAGCCCTAAACCACCCTAAACCTTAAGACTTAAGGCTATATAATTGAATGCACTGTTCTAGGTCCTAACATTAAATTATATAATAACGTATAATATATTATATGTTATTATATAATTTAATGTTAGGACCTAGAACAGTGCATTCAATTTGGGCCCTGGAACCCATAAGCTTGCACCTGTGCTTATAAGTGCAATTGCAATTGTTTCACTTAACACAATAACTACCATAAGTCCGAAGCCCTTCAAACCACTCCTAGGAATTCGTAAAGGTCGATCTTCGAAATACCAAGCGACTCCAAAATGGCCTCTAGATCTATGATGCCCCCAAAGATAAGTCTCATCAATGGTTTGAGAAAGCCGGAGATCTTTTGACTATGTTTATATAATGAAACCATATACGGGTACAAGCATAGTAGCACTGCTATGTTTTTGCTACTTCTGGACTTTGGGCTTTCCTTTGGCCTACCCTGCTTCGAGGATCTGCCCCAACTCTATGTATATATAAGCTCCAAACCCCAAACCCTAAACCACCAACTTAATCTGGAAACCAAGATCACAGATAAACCCTGTCACAGGTTCTGGAACTGGGGGCACCGGTGACAGTGCTTATGTGAAGCCTGCAGCCCCTATCCCCAATATGCAGACAGCCCGTCGCAAGCTCACGGCGAAAACCACCCCCCCGCAGCTACATGCACAGCCCGGGGCCCCTCCTGCCAAGAAGCCTACTGTGAGCCCTCCCCCAGCACTGGGAGCATCCACCGTGCCACCCAAGGCCACAAAGAGCAACTCCTCTGCATAAGGATAAGTGATCATTTAAGATTCAAACCTTAAGCTCATTTTTTTTGTGGGTGTTCACATCCCAGGTTCGACTCCACCGCCACAAGTGGCACTGAAGCTTCGAATGCCCAAGCAAGAGGTGAAGGCAGAGCAGCCGCATGTCGAGCCAGCCACTGGACACAACATCACTACAGCCCTGCCTGTGCAGCCTGCTGTGGACACAATCATCACTGCATCACCTGTTGACCCTGCAACAGCAGATACCCAGGTGGATGCCGACATGAAGCAAGCCAGCCTCACGGACAGTGCAGATGCAGAGATGCCCCCAGCAGTGGAGACACCTGCTCATGAGCAGGGTGATGTAGACATGGGACCCCCAGCAGTAGAGACAGCCCCCACGCAGACAGAGATGCCTGTTGATCAGGGTGATGCAGACATGCCCCAGGCGTGCGCAGGTGAGATGCCCCCACCATCTACGACACCTGTGAAGCCGAAGCCATCCGGTACAGAGCAGACACCAGTCGATCCACCCAAGCCAGCCGATGCTATAGACAGTACACAAGTGCAGGCACCAGTCGATGCACCCAAGCCATCCGATACACAAGTGCAGGCACCAGTCGTTGCACCCAAGCCATCCGATACACAAGTGCCGGCACCAGTCGATCCACCCAAGCCATCCGATACACAAGTGCAGGCACCAGTCGATCCACCCAAGCCATCCGATGCTGTGGACAGTACACAGGTGCAGGCACCAGTCGATCCACCCAAGCCGTCAGTTGACTTGGCTTGCACACAGGGTACACCTTGCAAGCAGAGTGCCAGGCCCACAGAGACCCCTGACAAGGCAAGAGTTGTGGTCAGAACCACACCACAGAGCACACCGATCAGATCTCCCGCCTTGAAAAGGCTCAGAGCGCATGGTCAGAGCCCCAAGACCCTCTTCAATGAGGCAATTTAGGGTTGTGGGCTAGCAATTTTATATTTGTTTGAAAGGGGGGGTGGGGGAATCGGAGCTAGTAGGTCAGGGCTTCAAGCCTTAAGGTGTGATGCGTGGTTGCCTTCAGTGCCTTGTCGAGGCGGATGATGAGACCAGTGCTGCGGCCGAGCCCCGTTCCTGAGCTTGCTTGGTATGAACTGCTGTAATTAAGTGTGATCCTCGAACCCTGGAATATCATATAGTTGGGCTAGCACCATCGATCTAGTCCTGTGGACCCTGCATCGTGAATCCTAAGCCTTCTGTGTCTATTGGGGCTCCTGCCTTGAGGCCTGGTTCCCAACCCGTGAAACTCCAGAATACCATAGTGTTGTGGCCCGAACCTGTACCCCTCCAATACATCCTAAAGCCAAGGTCCCAACCATAAACCTACTAGCCCTGAAACCTTCGAACCCTAAGTGATCCAAGTAAACACTAACTCAACCCTAAAACCCAAACCCCTAAGGCCCTAACTGGAGTCCTTGAATATGATACCCTTAATTAGAAGGAGCTTCAGAGGTCTCAGGTCTAGTATGTACACTCAGGTGTGCGACATGCTGACACGATGAGTACCATGGTCCTGGGGCAATGGAGTCGAGAGGACTTGCTCGAGGCTGCGCAGGATGAACCCAAACCGAGCTTGGTGGCAGCCCTTGCCGAGAAATACTTTGGGTTGCGCACTGAGGGTGGGGCTGATGAAAGTATGGATGCGGCCGAGATGGCCGAGGCTTCTAGCTTGCTGACATGGGCAGCTCATGTTCTTGGTCCCAGCTGCAGTTCCGAGCGCCGGGATGTGGCCTTGGCAGAAGCAGAAGAAATGGCGGGGGAAAGCTTTCGGGGTTCGGCTCTCTTGCCCCACGAGAGCAAGCTCTTCCTGGCCCCGGCTGTTGAAAGTGTCAATGAGGCACTGTGTCGAATCCGTGAGTTCAAGGGTCTCGAGGACTCAGTGAAATCGGGACAAGAAGCTGTTCATCGACAAGTTGAGAAAGCACGAACTGCCCTAAGCCAGCAACATGCAAAGGGAGACATTTCCGATGATGTGCACACGCAAAAACTCAAGGCCCGGCTCAAGGGAAGATTTTGCTTATACACTATTTAGGGCATGTAGCTTGCTAATAAGGTTTAGGTTCGAGGTGTAAGCGGGTTTCGGGCTGTGGTCTCCGGGTTTAGATTTAGGGGTTTAGGGTTGAGGGGTAGGTTTAAATTTACCTGTGGGAGGCCGTGGATGCATGGTGCACGAAGAAGGAACAGGAGCTCTATGAGAAGATACAGGCAAAGGAAGACGAGGTATGTACCAAGATCAATGAAGCGATTGCAATGATCTTGAAGGCCTGGGACAACCTGAAGCCTCAGCCGGCACTCTTGGCAAGGATTGACGAGCATGGTGAGCAGCCCATGGAAGTGGATGCTATGGAACAAGAGATGATGGCCGAGCTGGATGCCCAGCTGTTGGCTACTACCCTCAACGAGGCCTATGATGATAGATGTGTGCCCTTTCACATTCGAAGCTCCCCAGGTTGGTAGGTCCGTGTATTAATAGGACCTACATAAAAGCACACTTCTAGGCTTACCTTAAACCCGACCCCCTGTTGACCCTCAACCCTGAACTCCTACAACTAGCTCTAAGACATAAACGACCCCAAAGCCTTAAACCCAGATCTGCTTGCAGGATGCGAATATGGAGCCGCCGCCTGCCGATGAGTCCTCACAGGGAGCTGCAAAGGCTGCAGGGGTTACCGATGGCCTGTTGGGCAATTCTGAGATCAAGGCTGCAGAGGGTGCCGGTGGCCTTTCGTGCAATTCGGATATCAAGGCTGCAGAGGGTGCCGGTGGCCTTTCGTGCAATTCGGAGATCAAGGCTGCAGAGGGTGTGGGTGGCCTTTCGGGCAATTCGGAGATCAAGGCTGCAGAGGGTGTGGGTGGCCCGGCAAATGTGCCAACGGATCTTGCACTTGTGAAGCCATCAGGCATTAAAGGTGCGGTGGGCGCAGCCCTTGACAAGGGCCTTATCCAGGACATTCTTCTGCGTCGCCCAGACAGCTTTCAGCTGCAGGAGATGGGTTACCCTACGGCCTAAACCCTCAACCTAGGACCTTGCCCTATTTGCTTCTTTAAATCTGTTTCCTGATGATGCCCCTGCTTTTTGCTGCAGGAGTCTGCTCTAGCCTTCAAGGATGGTGAATCGGAAGAGGAACGCCTCTTGCGTATTGCCCACAACATCTACATGAGGTTCAATCGGAGCCACAAAAGAAGCTAGACAGCATATGTTACTAGTCCAGCCCTATATTTGATATCAAAGCAACCAGTACCCGAACAACTATTTATAATTAGTAATGAGGCAAGAGCTGTCCTCCAGAAGTCGTCGATGCGATGGCGAAGTGCAAGCGCGGCGGGGGCCCCTTGGTCATAATGGATTTATAGATGTAGGTCTGTACTTATAAGCTTCAGGTGTGAGGGGCCCTTATAAGATCAGGTGCCAAGTCCCTCGATGAGATGTTCATTGAGTATTTGAGATGTGATGGCAAATGGATGGAGTCCAACCTGATTGTCAAGCAAGTCACCAGCAAGGGCCAGCTGGTGGAAGGGGTTGAGTGCTACATGCGCTATATGGATCTAAAAAAAAAGGAGGGGGTGGTCACCGCAAAGCTCATTCGAGATGAAAAGAGACTCCTTCAAGAAAACCTCGAGCAGAATCCCGACCCCGATGTGTTGCCCTTCATAATGGCGCATCCGGACCTCCCCGGCTCGGAGGACTCATGTGGCTATACTACTAGCTCCAAAATGGCCTTAAAACCCTAAACCTTAAACCTCTACTGTGCATGTACTATTACTGGGCATAATGTAGCCGTCGATAGTTATGGGGTGTACTCGGATTGCACTTGCTAGGACTGGGAGCTGGTGAGAGTGTTTGAGTCTGCGAAGATCACCAAGAGTTCCGCCCGGAAGTCGGAAGCCACTCTATCCAGTGACATGGATCTGGATGGGGAGCAAACCCGTGCTATCCTGTTTCTTGCCTAGAATAAAGTCATCTGGCCTGATACCTATTAAGTGCAATCCATAAAACCTAATCCCTAAACCTACTCCGAACCCCCAAACCCGAAACCCCGATCCCTAATTCCAATGCCTCCCAAGACTGGGGATATCAGCCCTGGGTTGCACTTAGGATTTTGGCTGCAGGGTTTAGGGTTCAGGGTTCAATTATATATGGGGTTCAGGTTTAGCAGTAGTGTTGCCAAGCCATGCACCCACAATATATATAACCGAAACTCTCTGACCCTTGGGGATAATAATAATAAGCCCTCCTGATCATGAACCCACGCTCTGAAGGCCATGTGCCCTGGGCCTCGGGAATGGACAGCTTCCTCAAGCATCCAGCTCCGGATCCAATGCTGCATTGCCTGTGCCAGCTGGCTTGCGATCTCTTGGGTCAGCGGAGAGCTTGCAAAAGGAGCAAGATGAGCTGAAAAAGCTCAGGAAGGCTGGCAAAGGTGGATTCGCAAACCAAGTGCGCACAAAAGCCAAGCAAGTGGAAGACAAGATCAAAGAGCTAGATGATATCCAATCGAAGCTTGCTGAGAACCCCCCTCACGTGCTACTTGGCTCATATGTTATGGCCCTATATAGCTATAGTTCAGCCCCGGCCGTACCCTCACCTCTGTCCCGCAGGTCCGCACCTCTGCGCAACGGCTATCACGACGAACTCGAGCTCCACCGTGCTTCCTTGAAGGAAGCGGTTGAGCAGCTGCAGGCGTTCAATTTGGGGTCCAGGGAAGCCCGGGAACCGAAACCCCAAACCCAAGACACCCACACCCTTCGTTTCGTGGAAAACCCTCCTAAACCCTAATCCCCTGAAAACCCAAACTCCAAATCCTCCCAAACCCAAACCCGAAACCCTGCGAAACCTGAAAGCCCTCCTAAGCCCTAGTAACCTCGAAGCCACTGAAAGAATAGACCCTACAATTAGACTAAAACCCAACACCTATTATTGAACCCTCCTAGATCCCACACCCATAATATCCAACCCTAAATCCAGCCCTGTGAAGCTTTGTGAGGCTGATGATTTGGAGGACCCGGCAGAGCAGCAGAAGCGCATGGAAATGTTGGCCACCCTGATGAAGAACTACTCTGACTCCGCCAACATGATCAAGAAGAAGGTTGTGCCATCGATAAATTTAGCCATAATCCCGATCCCTTACATCCTAGGTCCTACACCCAATTGAGCCCAAAGCCTAATATTGCTGCAGCAGTAGTTCCCTTATGTGTTTTCTGCAACCTAGGCAGAGCCGAAGACCAAGGAGGCCCCAAAAGCAAAGGCCAAGGCCAAGGGTAAGGCAAAGTCCAAGAAGTGATTCTGGAGCCGAGTGCATTAGCACCAACAGACAATATGGTCAAATGTGTGGGATGGCAACCTAGCCTGTGCAGCCATCATGGTGTACACTGCATGTGTACACAATGACCCAAATTTAAACTAGCTATAATAGCTTAATGGGTTCACAGTGACTGCAAATTCCATTGGGTCTTTTGTGTGGCCATGCAGGGAGTGAGCTCGAATACTGGGGGGCTTCACTCGGTGCAGCAGTGGTGGGTCTGCACATGTGTGGCCCTAGGCCTGCACATATTTTGTGACCGGGCATGCGGGCGGAACCTGCATGTGATTTAAAGCCTGACCAATGCAATGCAGACGGTCCATGTCTAGTTTGACTCTCGAAGTGATATCTCGATGCGGTGTGTGGCGCGGACACACAAAAGCATGCTGTGATTGGGCTGTGCTGCATGGTCAACATATATGGCAATTTCTGATCTGTAGCTATAGATCCCCGCAGGTGTCGAGAAGAAAAGCTTGGGGCCTCTTTGTCGACATGTCATGAAATGTACCGGGAAAGGCGCCTCCAGGCTGAAATTTTAATCATTCTTAAAGCTTGCAGTGTGGCCCTGAAATTGAAGCCCTTCTAGCCTTTCAAACAGTTTTATATATGTCATCCAAGGCACTCCATCCCAGGACCTCAGCTTTGTTGGAGCTGTGACAATGCTGCAGCAAAGTCACAAGGACCAGGGCTTAAACCTGAATGTTAGATTTAGGGTTTGGGGTCCCTTTATATAAGCCATTAAACCCTAAACCCCTGAAGCCCTAAACCCTGAACCCTAAACACCAAACCCTAAAATACAATCTGTACACAGGAGATCCATGCCAAGGGTGCATCCCTGTGCTCCATGGGAGAAAAGCTTCGACGTGCTGGGGCTTGTGGCAAATGGACATCCAACACGGAACGTGATGTCTTGCGCACAATGACATCGGCATTGGGTTGTGTCGCATGGCTGATCGATCTCGAATGCTTGTACGTGTACATGTACACTAGTGTTGTCCAGTCAATGGGGTTAATGCGAGGTTCCAATCAGCTATGTGCAGGTGCCGATGCGCACATCGGTAACAGATGACACAGTGATCCAACGGCCCCTTGAACAACCCAAAGGGTCCTAGCTTAGAGGTACCTATATATGTACTTAGGGTTTAGGTTTAGGTGCTAGGATTTGGGGTACCGTTGGGGGGCACCTGTCTTGGCAAAATAGGAGACTACCTGTTGTCCTCCCACATCATTTGCTTCAGTATCTTCATCAAAGGGGGATGTCGACTGATGCATTGGACAGGGAAGCCAACCGTGAGTATTGGGCCCATATGGTCAAACACACTGATTGGGCTGCATCCCACCCATGCAGCCAATACCCAGAAACTTCCATCCCGACCTTCCTGTACGGCGACGATGTGAAGTTCAACCGGCAGGAGAAATTGACCTGCACCTACCTGGGCTTCATCTTAGCCGACAAGAAGGGCCTAGCAATGCGGACCCACTTCCCGATATTTATCGTCAGGGAGGCTGGGGCTTATAACCGGCAATATTATATTAGAAATTGAACTTATAATATGTCATTTCTAACAGCACTGAGCCCAAAACCCTGTAAAGGTCTTCAGCCTGGGCTTCAGAACCCTCCAGGCATTCATGAAGCCGGCACTCTGACAGCATGGGATTGTGTTAAGTTGCAAGATATAGCTATTAATGTTACAGCTAGCCCTGACCTCACGACCAATGCAAGGTAGTCACATCGCTGAATGCTGCCATCCTCGGCTTCACGCCAGCCCGCCCCATCCTGAATGCCGATGGTACGTGCGAGGGGGAAGGTGTGCCGGAAATGCTAGAGCAACCACTTGTGGTGGACAATGGGGAGGTGGTCCGGTTTCCACTTTGTGAACTACGTGGTGATTGGAAGTTCTACAAGGCAGTACAAAATAAATTAAGGGAAACGACTGAACATATAGTGCCTAAACTCTAACCCCGGACGATAACCCTGAACCAGGAATGGCTGGGGATGAGTGTTGGGTGGAGCGCCTGCAACATCTGCCACCATTGCTATGTGCAGAAAGGGTCTTTTGTGACGGTTCCAGCCCAGCTACAGCATCAGCCTCGACGTGACATGCGCAGCTTTGTGACTGAGTGTGCACAACAGCCTCCGGGTGTGCATCCAAGATGCTCGGCTATCAAATTTTGGTTTAGGGCTTAGGGGTTAGTGGATAGTATGGGTGCAGCCTTCTAGGTTGGATTTTGACCATTGGTGGTTTTCACCACACGATGGTGAGATGGTGCTCCCTCCACCAGTTGAACCTGGGGCCACTTGTATGGGCATCTGGGGCATGCCTTGAGCTGCTGTGCAAGCAGGATACACGGTCTTTTACTCTCGAATTATTAAATCCGATCCCTTCTTTAACCAAGCCCTGCCCTCGAAACCCTAAATCGGAGACCAAACCTCTGGACCTGTGGAGGACATTTGGCCTGGGGTGTCGAAAGCCGAACAGCTCAAATCTGCCTATGCAGCTTTTAGGGCTTGGTGCCGGGAACGCAAGATTGTGCACCCCTGGCTATTTAACTATATATATATATATATATATATATATATATATATATATAAGTTTATAGTTACATATATATATATATTATCCATAGTAGGGATATGTACGACCTGCTATAAATTAATGGTGCTGAAAAATCAGGCATTCGCAACCCCTCTTTCAACCGAAGCACCTCCGTGGGAAAGATGGGGAAGTGGAGCTGGCCGCCAAGGCGTACAATGTGCCTTGGATGGGTTTATAGTGGGGTTCGGATGCGGTATACAATAATATAATTAAGTTAATTGTCAGATTCAGCTCCAGCTAGCATAGGTCCGAGTCGTGACGAGCTGGCTTGCGGATACGGTGACGGAGCTTGTGCACCAGGAAGGCTATGACACAGAGGAGCTTCTGCTCTTGGCCCAGTGCATGAAACTGGGCGGTATAATTGAAATAGCACCCTGCAATCTGATCGAGTATGCTACACCCAAACTTTCGATTCATGTGCTCTAATAGAACTCAAGCCTATTTCGAGGCACTTCCTGCCGGAGCTGATGAACAATCTGGAGATTGCCCCACGGTATCTCCAGGACAACCACATTCAAGCCATCTCCTATGCTGCAGATGCAAGCCTTGCTGCCTACCTTGGTTTGGCTGCCCAATGTGCAAGTATTGGTCTCCCGTACTTCCCCATCCGGCCAAAGCTGCATGCATTTTGGCCTGCTTACTTCAAATGTGTATTTGTTTTGGGGTCAAACTCGTGATAAGCTCCTTATAGCTAAACCCTCAACACTCAGCCCTCAACTTTAAATCAATTGATTTGCAGCCCAGGCTGTACAGGAAATGGTGTTCTTCGCCGCCAAGGAGCGTGGCCAGGCTGATTTCGTCATGTTTGCGCACATATATTTATTGGTGTGTGCATGCCTACCTCATCATATGCATGCAAGCTGAGGCTACAACTTCAGGCATTATCACACATTCCTGGCAGAGGACATGAATGGCCGGTTGGTTGGTGACTCTACTGAATTCAAATGTTCCCCAAGGGTCCATGTACCATTAGTTTTATTAATATAATACATTGGCCCCCATGTACACCTATACATATATATATAGATAGATATACATAGGGACTACTTTAATTAATTGAAGCCTTTTTGGGTACATGGACCCTTGGGGAACATTAGGACACCACGAAATTGGAATTCGAATTAGTGATCGATAGAATCCGGTATCAACTACAATTATATGGGGACTGGTCCCGGGATGATTATCTAGTCCAATTCGTTTAATTTTGCCTGATTTGCAAGGAATCGCTTCAAGAGTTCACTCCCGGGCCCTGGAGCGAAGCACTCTGCAGCGCTACTACCTTTGGTGACTTGGTGCAGATCCAGACCCCATTTATGGGGCATGTTTATTCTAAGGCTAGCATAGACTAAACAGGAGATGGGTGATGGGCTTTTGAATCGAAACCACAGGAATGCAAGCTCTGAACAAACCCTAGCCCCAGCCCTCAACGATCCAGCTGAGAAAGATAACATTTAGTCTAGGTATTAGGCCCTGCCTGGTGTGGGTATTTGCAGGCTTTCTGTTTTCCTTAAGAATTATATATAGTAAGCCCAAACCCAAAATCTATGTCCTAAACCCTAGACCTTAAGTGGGTTTTGGGTTCTGGCCAGTCGAGGCTAATTGCCGACGACATGGCTGCTGAGTCTGGTGATGATGAAATGTAGGCCTAGCTGCGATGGCGAAAGAGCTCTTAAGCTGTGATCGAGTATATAGCTAGCTAAACCCCGGCCCTACAAAAAGCTGTGCAGTGGAGCTCCGAAGCACATGCACAAATTAGATCGTGTTTGAAGACACGATCATCTGCAGTCCGGCAAAATACAAGGGTGCAGCATCTTCGACCGAGGCTCTAGAGTCAGAGCTTGCGATTTTGGGTTTAGGTCTAGGATGGTCTAGGGTACAGGGTTCGGGGTCCGAGGTTCAAAGGTTAAGGGTCTAGGGTCCGGTACACGGTTTGGGGTCCGAGGTTCGGGGGTTAAGGGTCTAGAGTTGTATCCCAAAAATCCTCAAGGATTGGGGGAGTTAGGGGTTAGGGTTGATGGTGTTTTAAGCCCGGGGCTTCAGCCCCATATCGTGTGCTCAGACGAGATCTGCCCAAAATCTGAACCCTATAAGCCCTAAACCCCTATATACACCCTAAACCACACCTTCCAAATTCGATGACCCTGTGGCAAGCCATGGCCTTGGGCCACAATATTTTAATGCCCTCTTCCCCAGAACGCCTGAACCGTAAACTGCTCTAAAAGAAACCCTACCTGAACTGCACCATACGAAAACTTTCGCGATCTGTCACATTAGTATTATTAATAATACTAATGTGTCAGATCGCGAAAGTTTTCGTATGGTGAGGGTTTAGGTTTAAGGGCCCGGGGTTGGGGTTTTGGTTGCTTGGGGCTTCGGCTTGAGTCTTCAGGGTTTGGGGTTCTTGCGGTTTCTGCTTGAGTGTTCAGGCTTTGGGGAGTGTGCGGGTTTGGGTTGAGGGGTTGGTGCTTCAAAGGTTTTTTTTTGCAGTTTCGGGGTCTCGATGTGCCATATATACATATTTATAGCATAGGTTAATTAGATCCTCTGACCCGGAACTGTGGCTTTCTGGAGGTTGATTATTGTGATGTTCTGTTTGTGTTTTTTTCGATCACACACACACACACACGAAGACATAAATTGCATGTGTGAACGTCATTGACATATCATTTTTAGCCTTTAAAAAATTGTCCAGAAGCCATCATTTGTCTCAGAGCCAACGTTGTCCACGAGCCAACGCCGTTCTCGTCTTATATAAACTGCTAATAGCTGGTTTGCAAGTTGTGTCTCAGACCACACCCGGGACCCTTTGGGTTTGGGAATTTTGCCCTACGCCTTCAACTTGCAAGCTTTTGGACATGCGAAGTTGCCGGTTCGGCGTGCCAACCTGTTCAGCCATCCGTTCTGCAGTCAGACCACCCACCAAATTATCATGAGCCCCGGGGTCAACCAACAATCCAACTCGGTTGCCTTCTAGGCGTGTACGCTGATGGTACAAACCGGCTACCTCTTGAGAGGAGCTGTAATCATCAGCATCGCCTTCCCACCATGCGTGATGCAACAAAGAGCTGAGTTCCAAGACAGAACGCTGACGATCAAGTTGATCTTCATTCGGTGCTCGCTCGTTTGGGGGTGGAAACCTTGGTGGCCTGTTGCCTGTACCCACTGCTTGAACGGCTGCGACACCTGATATGGCGTTTGAACTGCTTGCAGGCTCATCTTCTGGAGATGGTTCCGGGTTATGCTCGGTATCTGCATTCCAATGTGGGGGCACATCTCGCGATGCCCTCGACCTTTGAGACCTTTGCGATCTCTGAGATCTGGTACTACTCACTTGGGATGCGGTTTCCAACCTACGCATTTCCTCATCTATTCCCGAACCGTATCTGGACGGCGTGGCTACCGGGAATCCAATCTCGGATGGAACCTGAGAAGGTGCAGAAGAACCACTACCAGCTAAGTAATGAAATGCAACCCCACTCATCTGACCTGGCATTCCTGCTGCATTGGCCGATGGCCACATTTCAACTGCAGATCGTTTGCCAGCATTGGTCATAAGAGCTAAGGCTGGGGATACGCTGGTTTGTTGTGCCCAATGTGTGCCTGATGCGCTTGCTTGATTGCCTGACACGACCTGAGGGCATTTTCGCCACAAGTGCGATGTGGAACCACATTTTGCACACTTCATAATTTGTCCATCCTTACCGCGAGGATTCAATGCACCTGGACCTCGGCGAAAACCACCAGAATTACCTTTACCTTTTCCTCCCTTTCCGCCTGCAAAAGCCCCTTGCGGAAGGAAAGTTGAGTAAGTTCTGGCATACGGTCCTCTTTCCAGTTTGGATTGAAACCTTGGACCATGCTTGAAACCATACCGACGGTATCTACGAGGAGGTTTGCCAGAGTACCTACGCCAACGCCTGCGGGCCATCACATAATCCTGATACAGTGCGTTCGCCCTTGCATCATCATCATGGCGTGTTTGGCCATCGACTTCCACTGTGGCATACGATGCGGCATCAGCGTCATACGAACCTGTGTCGGACTCAGTTGCCGATGACATGTCATCATCCTCGAAATACAAACCACAGTAGGAACACTGACCTTCATCACCAATGCCCAAGCCTCCTGCCATTCTACCCATATCAGCATCAAAGCCTGTTGCATATGCGCCGTGTGCGCTGAATCCGGCCGTGCCCTCACGGGCGGCTGTATTTGGCGCGAAACCCGCACAGAAACTTCCACAGGCTGACGCGTTGGGATGATTGGCGGTTTCAAAGGTAGGGAAATAGGAGTAGACATTATGCTGGACATGGTAATTTCCTGGGTCTCCAACTCCTGCTTGCTGGTTTGGATGCCTGAGCCCGCCTTCAAACAAATGACCTTGTCGCCGAATGCGTTCAATGAGCATTCCCATTTCCGCATCGTTGTTGGGAAGCGCTCCACCCATGAACTGCAAAAGACGGTCAGTTTGTTCAGCATTTGTTCTGAGGGACCTAAGGAGGATCCAAGCCAAACCCCCGTGATTGATCCCAAAACCGCCCCGTTGTTGAGCACGAGCTCGCAGCACATCAAACCGCACAAGCAGTGCATCGACGCTCTCACCAGGAATCCGATCAAAGTTCATGAAATCACTGATGGCACGGGTGGATTGCTCCTGTTCCAGTGGCAGATACCGACGGGCTAGAGTTTGAACCAACATCATCAAACCCGTAACTTGATTGCCGTTTACCGGGTCTACACCACCATTTGCCAACTGATCAGGAGGGATTTCACGCACCAGTTCTTTTGCACTACCGGTTACCTGAAGCGCGGCGATAGGACCCATACGTTGAGGTTCAACGTCAGTGGCCGTTGACCACATAATGAGGTCACTAATCCAAGATCTCAGGGAGTAATGGTGGTTACGTTCTACACTCCATGCCGGAGGCACTTTAAGGGTAGCTGTGCCTAAGAATGGAGGTCCGGCATCGCCCACATGGGCGTGTTGCCGCGGTCCGTTGCCAAAACCTGTTGGTCTATGCGGTGCGCCTGGCATCATGTACGCGAGGTAAGAAAGAACCAGGGAAACCAGCAAAACCAATCCCAACCATTTATTGGCAATAAACCTTTGGACCCAACCCTGATGTGACTTGACCTTGGACTTAGCACTGGCGCGTGCCTGCAGTCGGCGCTCTTTGCGGGAAAGACGTTTGAGAGTATTAAGGTGCATATTCTTATCTTGCGCTCGTTTGAAAGGAGGCATTCGTGACTCAAAGTGCGAACGAGCTTGCTCACGAAAACGCCTCAGACGCTCACGCAACTGCTGTACATCATGCATCCTTCTTTTGTCCTGGGCTGAAGCCCGGATGGAATCATACATCACCAAACTCCTTCCTGCAAAGTCGTCGTTTTGGTCATCCTCCGGAAAACTCCGCAACTCACGTTTCACAGGAAGGCCATTCCCGTAATCAGAACCGTTTTCCAGAATACGATCAATCTCACGTAGCATCTGCACAAGCTCTTGTTGATCATGAAGAAGCTGTGCAATCTCTTCTTTGGCAAATAGAGCAACATCAGATTCACGATGCATCGACAAGATGTTCATCATGTTTGTGTCATTAACGCTCGCGTTCGGGTCAAGCAAAGCAGAATCAATCCCATCAGGGATGTTGAATGCTTCTTTGGCTGCGTACGTCTCGTTATTCAGCTTCATGTCGGAAATCGTCTTGGGCATTACGCTGCCAATGCCAGTAAACACAAGGGTGGTCAACATGGCAAGGCACGAGAGGAACATGAGCCCTGAACGAACACCCGACAGCTCCGCTACCAAGTTGAGAAACGAACGTCCCTCTGAAGCCCCTGGGCTCCACATGAAACTGTGTACATGACGCAATGCAGTTTGACCCTTTTCACGTGATGACATGCTGTCAGTCCTGCACTATACAACACCTTCGAGGTTTCAAGTTAGCATGCAATCGTAAGCACTCGCGAGCTGCAGCATATCAGAACATACAACTCAAGTACGCGTCAGTAGGGCTTGCTACCTTTCAACTCGTAGAAGGCTCTGCTGGGTTCAGGTGCTTAAGGGTTATTGGTTCAAAGTTGTCGATATTTGTCAGTGTTCTCGGGCTAGGTCTCCCGAACTGAGTTGCAGGCATCAGGGGGTCTCAGATGCACCGGCCATAACAACGATGATGGTTTGAGTACACAACCACTGGCACGACAGGCCTTTCAAAAGTTCCGTTCCCAAATCGGCGCCCCGATGTCTCCTGTGGATGAGTAGCTGACTAACGGTCCCACGACCCGTACTGTGAACCCTTGTCGAGGGGATTCGAGGAGGCGATGTGTGACAGCGCGCATTCGTAGGAAGCATAGTACAGATGTGCCTCGACTCGGGTTCTGTGGCACATGTGTGAAGACAGCCCGTTCAGTATGCTCTGCAATGATTAGCATGTAGTTGCTGTCACGTGCCTACTCAAGACGAGCCCTTGATGGAAAAAGATTCCATCTGAACGAGTGTCCGGGAGTTTAATTAGGTGGCGTCGCTTCTAATACTTAGCACCAATTCCATTCGCACAATTCCGCGCCCAGCACTCTCCGACGCAGCTTTGCCCGGTAATGAGGCCACGGCTCAAGGATGAAGGCTACGAACTGAAAGTAGAAG